TGATTGTGCTACCAGTAATTGTACCACCAGCGATGGTACTACCAGTGATGGTACCACCAATGATGGCACCACCAGTGATGGTACTGCCAGTGATGCTACCACCAGCGACGGTACTACGAGTGATGGTACTTCCAGTGATGGTACCGCTAGTGGTATACTACCAGTGATGGTACTAACAGCGATAATACTACCAGCGATGGTACCACCGTGAAGGTACCACCAGTGATGGTACATCCAATGATTGTATCACCAGTGATGGTACTACCAGTGATAGTACCACGAAAGATGGTACCACCAGTGATGGTACTACCAGTGTTGGTGCTACAAGTGATTGCACTACCAGTGATGGCACCACCAGTGATGGTACCACCAGTGATGGTATCAACAGTGATGGTACTACTAGTGATGATACTATCAGTCATGGTTCTACATGCGACGGTACCAACAGTGATGGTAGCACCAATGATGGTACCTCCAGTGATGTTACTAACAGTGATGGTACTAAAAGTGATAGTACTACAAGTGATGGTACTGCCAGTGACGGTGTCACCAGTGATGGTACCACCAGTGATGGTAGCACTAGTGATTAAACTACCAGTGAAGGTACTACCAGTGATGGTACAACCATTGAGGGTACCACCAGTGATGGTACTACCAGTGATGATACAACCAGCGAAGGTACTACTAGTGATGGTGCCACCTGTGATGCTGCCACCAGTGGTGGTAACACCAGTAATGGTACCACCAGTAATGGTACTACCAGTTTTGATACCACCAGTGACAGTACTACTAGTTATGGTACTATAGTGATGGTACTACCAATGATGGTACCACCAGTGGTGGTACTACCAGCGATGGGACCACCAGTAAGGGTACTACCAGTGATGGTACTACCAGTGATGGTACTACTACTGATGTTACAACCAGCGATGGTACCAACAATAAGGGTACTACCAGTAATGGTACCACCAGTCATGGTACTGCTAGTGTTGGTACCACCAGCGATGGCACTATCAGTGATGGTACTACTAATAATGGTACCACCACTGACGGTACTACCATTGATGGTATTACCAGTGATGGTACCACCATTGATGGTACTACCAGTAGTGGTACTACTAGCGATGGTACCACCAGTGATGGTACCAGCAGTGGTGGTACCACCAGTGATGGTACTACCAGTGATGGTACTACTAGTTATGGTACCACCAGCTATATTGCCACCGATATTGGTACAACCACTGATGGTCCTACAAGTGATGGTACTGCCCGTGATATTACACCAGTGATGGTACTATCAGTGATGGTACCACCAGTGATGGTAAAACAAGAAATGGTACTTATAGTGATCTCACCACCATCGATTTTATCTCTAGTGATGGAACTACCAGTTATCTTACTACTAGTGATGGTGCAACCAGTGACGGTACTACCAGTGATGGTACTGCTTTTGATGGTAGTACTAGTGATGATACTATCAGTGTCTGTACTACTGGTGATGGTACTACTGGTGATGGTACTGCTTTTGATGGTAGTACTAGTGATGATACTATCAGTGTCTGTACTACTGGTGATGGTACTACTGGTGATGGTACTACCAGTGATGGTACTACTGGTGATGGTACTACCAGTGATGGTACTGCTTTTGATGGTAGTACTAGTGATGATACTATGAGAGTCTGTACTACTGGTGATGGTACTACTGGTGATGGTACTACCAGTGATGGTACTACTGGTGATGGTATTACCAGTGATGGTACTACTAGTGATGGTACTACCAGTAATGGTACTCCCACTGATGGTACTACTAGTGATGGTAAAACTATTAATGGTACTACCGGTGATGGTACTACTGGTGATGGTACTATTAGTGATGGTACTGCAAGTGATGGTACTACCAGTGATGGTACTACCATTTATGGTACTACTAGTGATGGTACTATTAGTGATGGTACTACCAGTGATGGTGCTACCAGTGATGGTACTACTAGTGATGGTACTAGCAGTGATGGTCATATCAGTGATGGTACTACGAGTGATGGCACTACTGTTGATGGTGCTACCAGTGATGGTACTACTAGTGATGGTACTACCAGTGATGGTGCTTCCGATGATGGTATTACTAGTTATGGTGCTACTAGTGGTGCTACTACTTGTGATGGTACTAATAGTGGTGGTAATACTATTGCTGGTACTACTAGTGATTGTACTACTAGTGATGTTACTACCAGTGATGGTACTACCAGTGATGGTACTACTGGCGATAGTGCTACTATTGATGGTACTACTAGTGATGGTACTGCCAGTGATGGTATTACCAGTGATGGTACTACTAGTGATGGTACGACCAATTATGGGACTACTAGTGATGGTACTACTAGTGATGGTACTACTAGTTATGGTACTACTAGTGGTGATTCTACTAGTGATGGTACTACTAGTGATGGTACTACCAGTGACGATACTACTATTGATGGTACACTAGTGATGGTACTACTAATGATGGTACTACTAGTGATGGTACTACTAGTGATGGTACTACCAGTGATGGTACTACTAGTGATGGTACTACTAGTGATGGTACTACTAGTGATGGTACTACTAGTAATGGTACTACCAGTGATGGTACTACTAGTGATGGTACTACTAGTGATGGTACTACTAGTGATGGTACTACCAGTGATGATACTGCTAGTGATGGTACTACTGATGATGGTACTACTATTGATGGTACTACCAGTGATGGTACTGCTAGTGATGGTATTACTAGTGATGGTACTACTAGTGATGGTACTACTAGTGATGGTACTACTAGTGATGGTACTACTAGTGATGGTACTACTATTGATGGTACTACCAGTGATGGTACTACTAGTGATGGTACTACTAGTGATGGTTCTACTAGTGATGGTAGTACTAGTGATGGTACTACCAGTGATGGTAATACTAGTGATAGTACTACTACTGATGGTACTACCAGTGATGGTACTACTAGTGATGGTACTACTATTGATGGTACTCCTAGTGATGGTACTACTAGTGATAGTACTACTAGTGATGGTACTACCAGTGATGGTACTACTAGTGATGGTACTACTAGTGATGGTACTACTAGTGATGGTACTACTAGTGATGGTACTACTAGTGATAGTACTACTAGTGATGGTACTACCAGTGATGGTACTACCATTGATGGTTCTACTAGTGATGGCACTACTAGTGATGGTACTACTAGTGATGATACTACTAGTGATGGTACTACCAGTGATGGTACTACTAGTGATGGTACTACTAGTGATGGTACTATTAGTGATGGTACTACTAGTGATGGTACTGCTAGTGATGGTACTACTAGTGATGGTACTACTAGTGATGGCACTACTAGTGATGGTACTACTAGTGATGGTACTACTAGTGATGGTACTACTAGTGATGGTACTACTAGTGATGTTACTACTAGTGTTGGTACAACTAGTGATGGTACTACTAGTGATGGTACTACTAGTGATGGTACTACTAGTGATGGTACTATTAGTGATGGTACTACTAGTGATGGTACTACTAGTGTTGGTACTGCTAGTGATGGTACTTCTAGTGATGGTACTACTAGTGATGGTACTACTAGTGTTGGTACTGCTAGTGATGGTACTACTAGTGATGGTACTACTAGTGATGGTACTACTAGTGATGGTACTATTAGCGTTGGTACTGCTAGTGATGGTACTACTAGTGATGGTACTACTAGTGATGGTACTACTAATGATGGTACTACCAATGATGGTACTGCTAGTGATGGTACTACTAGTGATGGTACTAACAGTGATGGTACTACTAGTGATGGTACTACTAGTGATGGTACTACTAGTGATGGTACTACTAGTGATGGTACTACTAGTGATGGTACTACTAGTGATGGTATTACTAGTGATGGTACCACTAGTGATGGTACTACTAGTGATGGTATTACTAGTGATGGTACTACCAGTGATGGTACTACCAGTGATGGTACTACTAGTGATGGTACTACTAGTGATGGTACTTCTAGTGATGGTACTGCCAGTGATGGTACTACTAGTGATGGTACTACTAGTGGTGGTACTACTAGTGATGGTACTACTAGTGATGGTACTACTAGTGATGGTACTACCAGTGATGGTACTACTAGTGATGGTACTACTAGTGATGGTACTACTAGTGATGGTACTACTAGTGATGGTACTACTAATGATGGTACTACTATTGATGGTACTACTAGTGATGGTACTACTAGTGATGGTAGCACTAGTGTTGGTACTACTAGTGATGGTACTACTAGTGATGGTACAACTAGTGATGGTGCTACTAGTGATGGTACAACTAGTGAAGGTTCTACTAGTGATGGTACTACTTGTCATGGTACTACTAGTGATGGTACTACTAGTGATGGTACTACTAGTGATGGTAGCACTAGTGATGGTACTACTAGTGATGGTACTACTAGTGATGGTACAACTAGTGATGGTACTACTAGTGATGGTACAACTAGTGAAGGTTCTACTAGTAATGGTACTACTTGTCATGGTACTACTAGTGATGGTACTACTAGTGATGGTACAACTAGTGAAGGTTCTACTAGTGATGGTACTACTAGTGATGGTACTACTAGTGATGTAATAACAAGTAAATTTGAACTACTTAATAAAAATTTTCATAGTCCTTAACTATAATAATTTTTTTCTCGAAACCTAAAATTATTGATGTAAGTCTTTAGTTATTGTTGAAAAACGTAGTGACAAGACTTTGCTGCTAGGTTAAGCCTTTATATTCTATTTCAGACTTTGGTAGGTTGCTAAAGTTTACTGAGGAAGGTGACTTATACTAAATTAAGTTAGAAAGGCCTCTGAAGCCTTAGAGAACTTTGATTAGAGTTGGTAGGCAGCTTAAGAATTGTGGCATCCGGCTCCTTCCACGAATAGAGGTTCCGGCTACTGGTAAGTCTGTTGCCTGATGTGTCCTGACAGGTTCTCTCCCTACGAGTGGTCCGACCCTCACCCGTGTGACCAGTCATCCGACAAACTCGACAATGAGTTTTCTCTTCTCAACTGCTTGTGGTTCTGCATTGGTTCCCTGATGCAACAGGGAGGAGATCTCTTACCGAAGTAAGATTTAATCTGAGCAGGAGAATTATCAAAGTGTTTTATTTTTTTACGAAGAAGACTTCTTTAATGGTTTATTCAATGTTGAGATTGCATTACATTGTATTCTCTTATTCTTTTTTAAATGTTGCTGCATGTCAACAATGCTTGCTCACTGGAACTTGAAGTAAAATTTTCTTTTGAAGGTCTGCTGTGTCACTGTCATTTTCAGTTGTTAAATCTAGTTTCCACAGAGCTAGCATTTAGAGTGTCATTCCAAGACTCTCAGCTTTGAACGTCCACCATCTCTGATTCACCTCTAAAATCCTTATAGCCTTTCCCTCTACTCTATAAATAATTCTGTGTTAGTTTCAGGCTCCAGACAGACAACCGTAATAATGAGAAATATTCACAACACAGTTAATGACATACTAAGAATATAATATAATGTTGTGAAATTAATATTCAGAGAACTTGAGTTTCCAGTCTGACTCACGAAATCGTGATGACACGAGTGGAAACAAACCATACCACGGGTGGGGTTAGAACACGCGATCAGAGTCTCAAAACGCGTCGCTCTAGAGTTTTGAGACTCTCTGATCGCGGGTTCTAACCCCACCCGTGGTATGATTTGAGTTTCCAGTACTTTCCACCTTTTATTAACATGCTGATATTACATTTTCCCAGAGTCACTGAGTCTGTAGTTGACACATTAGTCAGTAATCGCTCGTAAACAATTCTATTTCATAAAACCTTTGTTTCTCTTGAGAAAACATCTCTGGAGGTATTTTTCTCTTTTCCAGTCAAAATTACTTAGGTTATGGAGGTGGAAAAAGTTATTATTGTACCGAGAAGAAACTCTGATAACTAAATGTTTGAAAATCATTGAGTAGGTCAGTGTCCCCCCCCCCCAAAAAAAAAAATCGCTCTTGTCTCTTCGTAAAAAAAAAAAATTGATCTGTGAGATAAATGAAGAGGTTAAGCTTTCTTTCTCTCTGTATAAGTGACAGGAAATTCAGCCTAATCAAAATATTAACTCCTAAATAATTTTCTGGTTCTTAAAGTGGGTAACTGTGCAGTGCTGTCAGTGTCCTGGAACGACGTGCACTAAAAACGGTCATAATTTCTTTCTCCTCTTCAGGGAATGGGTGAAGGGCTTCAGGGAAGGGGTGAAGGGCTTCAGGGAAGGGGTGAAGGGCTTCAGGGAAGGGGTGAAGGGCTTCAGGGAAGGGGTGAAGGGCTTCAGGGAAGGGGTGAAGGGCTTCAGGGAAGGGGTGAAGGGCTTAAGGGAAGGGGTGAAGGGCTTCAGGGAAGGGGTGAAGGGCTTCAGGGAAGGGGTGAAGGGCTTTAGGGAAGGGGTGAAAGGCTTCAGGGAAGGGGTGAAGGGCTTTAGGGAAGGGGTGAAGGGCTTCAGGGAAGGGGTGAAGGGCTTCAGGGAAGGGGTGAAGGGCTTCAGGGAAGGGGTGAAGGGCTTCAGGGAAGGGGTGAAGGGCTTCAGGGAAGGGGTGAAGGGCTTAAGGGAAGGGGTGAAGGGCTTCAGGGAAGGGGTTGAAGGGCTTCAGGGAAGGGGTGAAGGGCTTTAGGGAAGGGGTGAAGGGCTTCAGGGAAGGGGTGAAGGGCTTTAGGGAAGGGGTTGAAGGGCTTCAGGGAAGGGGTGAAGGGCTTCAGGGAAGGGGTGAAGGGCTTAAGGGAAGGGGTGAAGGGCTTCAGGGAAGGGGTGAAGGGCTTCAGGGAAGGGGTGAAGGGCTTTAGGGAAGGGGGGAAGGGCTTCAGGGAAGGGGTGAACGGCTTCAGGGAAGGGGTGAAGGGCTTCAGGGAAGGGGTGAAGGGCTTCAGGGAAGGGGTGAAGGGCTTCAGGGAAGGGGTTGAACGGCTTCAGGGAAGGGGTGAAGGGCTTTAGGGAAGGGGTGAAGGGCTTCAGGGAAGGGGTTAAAGGGCTTCAGGGAAGGGGTTGAAGGGCTTCAGGGAAGGGGTGAACGGCTTCAGGGAAGGGGTGAAGGGCTTCAGGGAAGGGGTGAAGGGCTTTAGGGAAGGGGTGAAGGGCTTCAGGGAAGGGGTGAACGGCTTCAGGGAAGGGGTGAAGGGCTTCAGGGAAGGGGTTGTGGAACGGCTTCAGGGAAGGGGTGAAGGGCTTCAGGGAAGGGGTGAAGGGCTTTAGGGAAGGGGTGAAGGGCTTCAGGGAATGGGTGAAGGGCTTCAGGGAAGGGGTGAAGGGCTTCAGGGAAGGGGTGAAGGGCTTCAGGGAAGGGGTGAACGGCTTCAGGGAAGGGGTGAAGGGCTTTACGGAAGGGGTGAAGGGCTTCAGGGAAGGGGTGAAGGGCTTTAGGGAAGGGGTGAAGGGCTTCAGGGAAGGGGTGAAGGGCTCCTTGTCGTGGCACAGTCTCTTAATCATAGTAAATGAACTTCAAATCCCTTTTCTCAGAGTGAATCTAATTAATTTCTTACCTCCCTTGTCTCCCTTCATTTAACTTCATTATTAGGAAACAGTTTTTCTTAGTGAAGTTTAATTCCTAAGTTGAAGGAAAATGGTATATAATCATTACTAAATATTAAAATGGTAGACAGTACCGCCTTGTTGGTAATTCCAGCCCGTGGATGAGCTGGTAGCTTCCATTTTCACTTCCATTATCTGACAAATGCGAGTTTGTCCTTCAGTGTCACCGGAGGAGAGTCAGACTCGTTCAAAGATAATCTATTTCCTGACTGCTCTGCTACCGAAGTCTTCACTTTAACAGGATTGATAATGCAATAGTTAGGCATCTTTATTCCGAAACTTTTCGCCTACACAATAGGCTTCGAGTACAGAAAGTAGGCAGGAGCAGTAGTGATGTGACGACGATGTAATCAGTCCATCACCCTTGATGACGTAGATATGAGGTTGTCAGTCCCTCAGCCTGGAGAAGAGTTCTATTCGATAGTCTGAAACAATGTGAAGAACAAGGGACAGTGTGGAGACTTATGTACTGTCTCCTTCCGACAGTATATCGGTCTCCACACTGTCCCTTGATCTTCACATTCAGACTATCGAACAGAACTCTTCTCCAGGCTGAGGGACTGACAACCTCAAATCTACGTCTTCAAGGGTGATGGACTGATTACATCGTCGCCACATCACTACTGCTCCTGCCTACTTTCTGTACTCGAAGCCTATTGTGTAGGCGAAAAGTTTCGGAATAAAGATGCCTAACTGTTGCATTATCAATCCTGTTAAAGTGAAGACTTCGGTAGCAGAGCAGTCAGGAAATAGATTATCTTTGAACGAGTCTGACTCTCCTCCGGTGACACTGAAGGACAAACTCGCATTTGTCAGATAATGGAAGTGAAAATGGAAGCTACCAGCTCATCCACGGGCTGGAATTTCCGATCAAGCACTATTTTATTATTTGGTGACGGATAATTACACACTTAGCACTATAATCCCGTCAAGCGGTTATGCTAAATATATTTTATTCTGTTCTTGAGGTAGCGTCCCGGTGGCTGGGTAGAGCAAGACGCAGCTTTCAGCAGATGCCAGCACTAAGTGTGCTTCCTGGAGGTTGATCGTCGTTCAGGAAGAGAATGAGTTTCTTTCATTTATCTTCGGAGTGGTCGTCATCTAATTTATTTAAAAAAAAACTATATATTTAAAAAGAATAAGGTGCCTAATGATTTTGAATGTAGGTCTCCAGGAGGCAGTGTTACTGTTATGTTAATCACACACCTCACCTTCACTACTGATTAACTGTTGTGCAAGTCACACACTTCACCTTCACTACTGATTATCTGTTGTACAAGTCACATACCTCACCTTCATTACTTATTAACTTAAAAACTAGAAGAGTTATCTAGTTCCCACTAGTTGACGAACCCTAGTGGAGCTTCTCATCCACCCTAGTGGAGCTTCTCATCATTAGGTTGGTCTTCAGGTTCAGTAGTCAACTGTCTATGGCGTCTCCCGACCGATCTACGTATGACTCTGCTCATACATATGCCGTATCATCATCCTCAGAATCACATGTTACAGCAGTGTACAATGATAGCGCCAGAGTATACAGCTTTTTTTTTATATCAAGATTTAGGAATCCACGAAAGGAAGATTCTTCCAGCAAAATCTGAGCAGAATTGAATGCTATTCTTACTGATCTCATACATATAACCACTACCTCCATCCTTTCTGTTGTCATTGTTTCAGAATCTCAAAAGGAGTTATAAGCTCTCTACTTCCTGCTGTATTATTTACAAAATATTCGGTAAATCATTTTTATAAATACAAATTCAAATTTATATTTCCTTATGAAGTACAGAATAATGTAATTTACAAGTAACAAAACATTGTTAGGCACCAAAGCCAATAGTATGCAGTACATTCCAGACAAATAATCCTTAGGCTTAAAGACTACTTAAGAATTAGACACATTATAAGTTAAGTAGAATTATCAAATTGCTTATTGTTTCATACTGATTCAAGAATCTTTAGTTTCAGAAACACAAAGGTACCGTTTTTGCTGGGTCCCTGACACGTTAATACTGGTTATGTTGTGGACATTCAGATTTAGCCCCAACATCTTCCTTTCACGAATTATCAACGTCACACATAGGGGTCCCTTAGTCGGATTATCTTACAGTAATTTCTCAACAACAGTGAAATCACAGACAATAGCTCTGGTTCACGTGAATACACTATGTTTTCTCCATTAAACCTGAGCCAGGTACTTGGCCATCTTTTCTCCAACACTGTAGCTTAATCTAACGATTAAAAAACTTTTCTAAGATAAGCAGAAGAACAAATGTTGGAGAATAAGTAAGTAGCTACGGAATAAGTGAGTAACCTCAGAATTCTTGAGTTTCCTTGAATCAGTATGTAATCTCAGAATATATATGAAGCCTTTGAATACCTGAAAAGCCTAGAAATTCATGAGTAGTCTTGATGTACACTAGTAGTCTCGGAAAATGTAAGTAGCCTTAGAATTATTGTGTAGCCTCGTAATACGTGCGCAGACCCGGAATAACCGAGTAGCCAAGTTATACCTGAGTTGCTTCACAAT